GTGGCATCTTGGCAGCTGCACGCTTGACTTTTCTCAGTTCATGGGCAGTTATTTTGGCCCTTGGTTTTTCCACACGCTTCTTGCGACCCTGTTGACTATTTTGAATGAAACGCTTGATTGTTCGATGATCACGCTTCAGAAGCTTTGCAATTTTGAGACTGCTGCATCCCTCTGCAAGATATCTCACTATTTTTGACTTTTCTGAGCCTGTCAAGTCCTTCTTTTGACCCATTTTGCCAAAGGAAAGGACGTTGCCTAATAATTATGCACACCTGATATAGGGTGTTGATGTCATTAGACCACACCCCTTCTCATTACAGAGATGCACATCACCTAATATGCTTAATTGGTAGTAGGCTTTCGAGCCTATACAGCTTGGAGTAAGACAACATGCATGAAGAGGATGATGTGGACAAAATACAAAATACTCATTTGCCTAATAATTCTGCACTCCCTGTATAGCAGAGGGGATGGAGTATACTTTCCATAGGTGATATAAGTTAAAGAACCACCTTTCAGTGCAATGTTTGCATTATTACTGCCAAAGTTTTGGGGGTTTTAAGTTATAAAACACAGTTTGAGTGGCTAACTTTTTCATCATCCATCCATTCTGTAGCTGATAATGCTCATGGGAATACAAACAAACAGCAGCTGTCATCGGGTTCATGGCTGAATGATCTGACAAGAATGAAACCTCTGCACATCAGTAAAGTGGCAGAATGACAGCTCCGGTTAACAATTAACTGAGCAAATGTAGACCTCAGAGTAATAGAGGAATATAGATACATCCATGAATAATCTAACATAGTCATCTGCCCTTAATAACATTTTTTAAATCACAAGTAGTTTAAACAGGTGATGGCGTCAGCGATAATTGGATTGATGGATGGATGGTGTCTGATATTTTAGATAATTGAAAAACCTTGCCCACAGATTAAAAGATACATACATAAATACTGTATTTCAGGCTCTCTTTTCATTTCATTTTTAATTTAGCCACAAATGTCACAACAAAATACTCTTGCTCCATCTAAAGCCCAGCCCAGAGGAGGGATAGAAAACCATTAGAGCAGCCTTGTGGTAGCAGTGACCCTTCAGATGTGCACGAGTGGTTTTTAGATACACAGCATTACTAATGGACATAATTTTTTAAATAATTCTCTTCTTATCTAGTTGCCCCTTTAACATCCATCATTGCAGTAAAAAAAAGATGTATATCTCTAAAGAGCAGGTGCCTGTCAAAAGTGGGATGTGCTGTCATGAATGTCAATCTCTTTGGGGCAATGGCACCGGGTCTGTGTTAAAGGCTGTATTTATGCATACTTGTGAATGTGAGTAACAAACTGTAATGAAGGAGAATTTAAACTTAATTTGTGTTACATTTATTACTTGTTAAATGTTGCTTTTGAAATAAGCATACACCAAACATCAGGTTGATATTGTAGCAGTGCTTAATGTTACTAGATGCCCTTCTAACCTCTGAGGATGTTCTTCAGGATAAATAGTTTTTCAGACAAATTTATTTCATAATTTCCTATTTTTAGCTCCAGGGCATGGATGATAGAGAGAGGAGGAAATCTACATTGGAGATTGAATGTAGATTTGAGGAAGGGAACTGTAACCAGAGATTGATAAAAAGAAAGAAAACACTAAGAGAAATTGCAGGTTGATGGAATCAGATTTGTGGTAATATTGTACCATTTAATAGGATTCCAGGCTGATTTGAAGTTACACCATTGTCTTAAAATGTTTTTAAAAAATATTAAATAACATTAAATTTAAAATGCATGATAGCTGAGATAGGTTCAGGCAGCCATCGGGGCACTTTGGGTTATTTTGGGGCAGCTTTTGAACAACTTTTGAATGACATACGAGTACATATAATGTCTAAGGTCAAACTTTTATCTTTGTATATATTTTATAGTATATATTTTAAAATATATATACTGTCAGATCAGTGTGCTCTCCTGCAGTGATCACTTTATTCCCTTTGCCGGGGTGAACTACGAGCTGCTTTTGGTGCAAACCCTACGAGAAAAGGGTTTTGTTTATATTATTAAAAATAATCAGTTCCGAAATTTGTGTGATCTTTTGAAGTTTCTCGCATCCTCTCACCTCTTTACTTTGGAGTCATACTTTAAATGACTCACCAGCGCATTCGCTGGCTAATGTCGGCTGATCCACCCACAGTCCTTGAGTTTTCTTATATTCACTCATCCAATAAATGTTCTGATGATGAAAAGAAAGCGCTATCCAGCTTTTTAACCATTAATGAGTTTACTTCAGCATGGAATCATTTCTGACAAATAAAAGCACATTATATTCTGTTTTGTATGCAAAGGTAGAGCTCCTCGGCTGACAGAGATTTAAATCCAAGTTTTAATCTAAGACAGCTGAGTGACACTGGAATCTCAAAGCGTTTGCAGTGTCACTCTGCAAAAAACAAGGTATAATTATTTTTTAATATATTTGTTGTTTGTTTAAGTCTGTCTTATTGGCTTGCAACTTGTGCTATCATCATTAGGCTCTGCAACGACATAGACAGATGGCTGATAATGGTCTCCACTGAAATGACAGTGGCTCACATTCAATTAGACAGTGATGAATTATGTGATGACTATGACCTGAAAAGGAGTTTTAAAGGTCACAAGACAGCTTATGCTGTGGTCTTACTATTGGCCCATAACCTGTAACTGGAAGTTGAGTGAATAGACTAATATTGAAAATGTATGTTTTCAAAAAAAAAAAAAATGTATGTTTTGCAGTCCTTTGCTAACTTTTACAGTTAATAAAGTTAAAGTCCTCCCACTGATTTTGTATCCATCCCAGTGGGTGAGACATACAGCAAGTATTGTGTTTGCACAATTCCAGTAATGTCAAAGCTTTTAGTTCATGGCTAATGCGACCTGCTGAATTTCATTCTGAGCACGAAAATGAAGAGGAGAGGTGATTTAAGTAAAACTGGTTCCAGACGGGTTGGCCTTGATGATGACAGGGGTCAGATAGGAGGGCAACTAACTCATATAACTATTCTTATACCCAAGGTGTGCAGAAGAAGATCTTTGAACACACATGCTGAAGCTTGAAGTAGATAAGCTACAGGAACAGAAGGACCACATCAGTCGCCCCTCCCCTCCTGTCATGGCAGTGTAGTTTATATGGAAGAACTGAGTACATCAGAGGGACGGCTCAGGCTGAGCAGTTTGGATACAAAGTCAGAGAGACGAGGCTGACATGGTTTGGACGTGCAGAGCAAGGATAGTGGACATATATGTAGCAGTGAGGAGGGAAAGAGAATGACCACAGAGAAGATTCATGGATTGTGAAGGAGGACACGCAGATGGTTGGTGTGACAGAGGAGGATATGCAGTTTCCATTACATGCACAACTATAATCATTAACATATCCAAAAACAAAAATTTTCGGACTTTTCCAGTATAAAAGTACTGACCAAAACGTTATCCTTATTATGTAAGTTTCATTCTAAAATAAAGTGTTCGTTTCTTTCTTACTCCTGCTTTGCCGCCCCCCTAGGCACCGCTACGTATTGCCAGAGGAATCTGGCATGGCTGCTGATTTGGCCTGAAGCAGCCAAATATCAAAGAACCCCTGTCACCAGGATGCCTGCACCACAGGGAAATCATCACACAGGGAGACACTGGCACTAGCTGTTTATTTTCATTAAATGCGGATAAAGATTTTTTAAGCGGAAGCTGAGAGAAGATGATGCATGCGCATGGAAAATGTTTTAACTGGAAGTGCATGTAAGGGACGTTCTTCAAAGATTCTTCTTCAAGGTGTATCTGTGACTGTGGAGGAGCAACAGTGGGGGGCACATCTGTCCTTGCACCTGATAAGAAATAACTTTTGGTTACACCACCCATGCTGACCAGCGGTGCTGCAAAGCTAGGATACATTATTCAGACACACAAACATATGCACTTATAGAAAACCCACACACGCACACGCATACAAGCCTTTGTTGACTGGTGAGATCTCATCTCCCTCTAATCTGTGAAGAAAGTGTTGTCCCCACCCACGGACCAGACAGTAAACAAAAAAATCACAAAATGCTGCAATGTCTGACAACAACAAACAGATGCCAGATCTGAGACGCCAAACAAACATCTACAGATTATCCACGCGCTCTGTTCTTTATCAGATCTCATTATCAGTCACTGCTGATGTCACTATTAACAAGGCGTGCATGGTGGAGGTGGAAGAGGTTGAAAATAATAAAAGACTGAAGGACCTGCTTAGTTTTTAACAAATTTTTAGACTGACCATTTTCAGATACACTTTTTTCAACTATTAACATTGACCGTAAGAATAGCACCTAACTCAAGGGATGAACCAGTGCTGTGTATATGCATAACAGACAGCTCAGCAAAAAATCGAATTTAAACTGTATCTTTGGGCACTTTCTTACCAGCAAAAATCATTTCTTCCCATTTCTTCAGTGGATGAAGATTGACAACAATAACACAGTTTGTAAGAAAAGGTCTCATGGAGGGTTTAATCTAAATGTTAAAATTTTGGTTCAAATTATCATCAGTATGTACAGAGCAGGTCAGGAGAGCGGTACAACAGTGAGTGTCTACAGCCACCTGTGAAACACAGTGAAGGCTCCGTCTTGGTTTGGAGATGGATTTCAGCCAGTGCTGTTGGGAATGTTCTCAAAATTAATGGAATTAGAAACTCAGCAAAATACTCTCAGATACTGATCCACAATGAAAATATCATCTGGAGTTCATCAACAAGTTCATCAACAAGAAATTCATTTTTTGTCGTGACATGATCCCAAACTCACTGACATCACAGTAAAATCATACCTAGATTATTAGTTATGGACTGGCCTAACCAGTTCGGACACATTCAAAGAATAGCTTTAGAGGCCCTTCGATAAGCAGTGAGCAGAAGCTCGTAGACTACATCGCGGACTACGTCTTCATCTTAACTCCTTAAGTTCACAAATCTAAATATTGCCTTTACAGTGGCACTGGGGGTGCTCCTCTGTGACCTCTGCGCTTCGCAAAACGACCGCTAAGCGACGCTGTTTCCTCTTTTCCGTTTCTCCACGCATCTGTCGGCCAGCTCCTTCGGGATCACGTGACGCATGTGACCGAGCAGTATGGCGGACATGCATGTGGAGCCTCAAAACAAATTGTACCGTTTGTTCAGCTAACCCCGCCGCGAGGAAACATCGATACCGCGCGCGAAGTCGGGCCGGCGGTGGCCGAATGGTCAGCAGGATGGACGAGGACAACAAACTTCAGTTTCCGTCTCTGCCCGATACCAAGGAGGACCTTCTGGTGAGATCCTGTATTAGCCAGCATGTCCACTGTGTCTGTCTGACCAGCTAATTTGAGCTAACCTCCACGCTAGTTTTACTTTCTGGCAGCGAACAATGTAGAGAGGGCGATATATGTGTGTGTGTAGTAGTAGTTTTTGGGAGGGTGACGTGTTAATGTAATGTGTGATAATGTGAGAGCCATTCTCAAAATTGTCTTTTAATTAGTCTTTTGCGGCGTTTCGGCACTGAGTAGCCTACTAGCATTAGCAATCAGCGTGCATAAAGTAAACTAGCATTCAGCTGTCGTTTAATGGTAGGAACACTTGCCACATCTTTTAACATTGGTTTCAAATTCCCATTTTTTTCCAGGATTGGGCGTATCCGATGAGACGAGATATGCAGGTGTGTAAGGATGAGTCTGTTGTTTATAGTGGCAAGTTTAATCTTGACAGTTGAACGTCTTTAGTCTATTCCTATGGTAAATGCGGCTTTAAAGTTCTTAAAACATTAATCTGGAGACAGAACAATGCAGCAAATTGTATTTTTAATCATTATAGTTACTGTTTAAACTTTAATACAACTTTGTTTGGCTGTCGTGGTACTACTTTGATGATGTGTGTACATTTTATGACCAGATGTTTACATACACGCCTCATGGGTGCATACATCTGTAATGACTTGGGTGAACAGGTTCCTTCATCGAGTTCACTTCTTATTTAGATTCCTTAACGATTCTCATTTGGTGCTCATCAGCACTAATGTCAGAGTCAATACCATCACTAAGCAGCATATCAAAAACATTATATTTGTGCAAATCAATTGTATGCTCTGGGTCAAATGTTTGTGCATTTTGGAGGTATTTCCCCTCATTGTTGTGATCATCCCCTCATTGTTGTGATCAGTGCTGGGGGTCGTTTGCCAGCGCAAAGAGACTTTAAAGCGATCGCCCAAGTGATTCTCCTGTATGACCTGAAGCTCCAGTCTGACTGCTCATCACTGCTTTTGCCGAACTGTCACCCTAAAATGAGAGATAATTGGTTAGGATGTTCAGGATTAACCCAGGAACCATCAAGGCTCAAGCCTGCCATGAACTTGACTGAACAATTTGTCGCTGCCAACATGGACAAGCCAAATGCCCCCTGGAGAAAGGTTTTATTGACAGACAACAAAGATTTAGCTATCTGGCCACAATAGCAGGAGGTGTGTTTGCAGAAGTAAAGCAGAGGCTTTCAAACCTAAGAAAACTGCACCAGCTGTCAAACACGGTTGTTGTAGCATCATGCTTTGAGGCTGTTTTGCTACCAGTAGTACTGTTAGTGGATGGAGTAATCGAGGAGGAGGAGTACCCTCAGAATCATCAACAGCTAGCTGGTTAAAACTTCAACGCCATTGGGTTTTCCGGCAGGACAGTGATCTCAAACACACATCAGGGCTGTTAAATGTATAAAGCAAGCTAACTTTAAGCTTCTGGAATTGCGTTCCCAAAGCCTCAAATTCAACCTAATGTAAAATTAAGTGCTTAAAAGCAGAGTTCGTGCCAGGAAATTTAAATGAACTCTATGCATTCTGCCAAGAAGAGCAGCCAAATATCCAGGAAGAAATTTACCAGAAGCTTGATAATGGCTACCAAAAGCATCCAGTCAAGGTATACTTTGATAAGGGACATTTAACCAAAGATTAGTTGGGTGTATGTATATTTTTGACTTTGTGTGGAATAGTGGAAAATCCAAAATTATAATTAATTCTTGTTCACTCAGTTCTTTTTGTTTGTTTTTTTTAACCATCCCAAGAACTCATTAAAAGCTCATAATTACCATGATTCATGCCCTTGATGAGTGTGTGTAAACTTCTAGTGATCACAGTAAAATGTCAGTGTCCAGATATAAAATTCTTTGTTAAAGATGAAGAAATGTTGGTGCCTGTGTTGTGTTAATGTTTGCTGTATTTTTCTATTCAGGAGATTTTACCAGGACTGTTTTTAGGTCCCTACTCTTCTGCGATGAAAAGCAAGGTAGTTGCTGGAGGACTGATTTCATTGATTTCTCTTGGATATGGAGACACAAACAAAATGAATGCATTCAACCCTCATTTTACTTATTCCTCTATGTCTAGCTGCCAATTCTCGAAAGACACGGCATAACGCACATTGTGTGCGTCCGCCAAGACATTGAAGCCAATTTTATCAAACCTAATTTCCCTCACATGTTTAGGTAAGTAAGGGCTTCTGTGATCTTTGCGCAACATTGGTATGTTTCTGAAACAGGGAGTTTTATTTCATCATGCGTTTTCTTGCAGATACCTTGTGTTAGATATTGCTGACAGTCCAGTGGAAAATATAATCCGCTTTTTTCCTATGGTGAGTAAAGAGGTGGGGCGTGTTGTCTGGGAAAGCGCTCTTTCGCTGAAAGGTGTGGCGTTTACAATAAAATTAAATTTTCCTTTTTACAGACTAAAGAATTCATTGATGGCTGCTTAGCAACAGAAGGTAAAGATGCATGCCTTTCCCGTTTGTATTGCCTACAGTGTAAGGCATTTTATTAACAATCTTCTGTTTCCTTGCTCTTTCAGGAAAAGTACTGGTTCATGGTAATGCAGGGATATCAAGAAGGTGAGCCTACATTTGTTCTGTATGCTGTAATTTCACCTCGTGCATTAAAGCGCATCACGTACTGTACTGCCAAAGCTGTGAAATTCTAAAATATGATTGGCTCATGTACTGTTTTTGTTTAGGCGAGTGTTATATGTGATATTTTTTCAGTTTACAGAGCAAATTGCATGTAGGATAAAGTTTTGCGAAAGTCTTGAGCAACCCTTCATTTTGTTATATTTTGCTTCCACTGATCTTGACTTCTTTTTTTGTTTGATTTGAGAAATAGTTCTCATGGTCTCTCAAACTTCCTCTTTGGCAACTGGCTGCTTTTCTTTACTCCTTTTTAGTTTAGCCCATCAGCCTCATCAATTTCAGAAGAATTCTTTTTTTTTTTTTTGTTTAAGGTAATTTTTAAGAGAGAAAAATTACACAAGAACTGGACTGAAAATCAGTGTCAGCAGGTCCAATTTTGATATTTTTGGTTCAAATTCTGGAGGTGGTCAGATGAGCAATGCAAAAGCTAGTGTCTACAGCCATTTCTGAAACACAGTGAAGGCTCTGTAATGGTTTGGGGTTGTATTTCAGCCAGTGGTCTCGAGGACCTTGGTGGGATTATGAACACAGAAAAATACTATCAGATTTTCATCTGTCATGCAGTACCATCTAGCAGTGGTTGTATAGTGTAGTGGGTTACACAAAAGGTCAGCAGTTCAATTCCAGCCAGAGACACAAATTCCCTTTCGTATTGTGACAGGAAGGAAGGAATATTGTGTAAAACTGTCAAATCTAGTATGTGGTGTTACCACAGCTGATATTTGCTGTCATGCAATACCATCTGGAAAGTGCCTGATTTGTAGCATCTTCATTTTTTTAGTACGTCAATGATTCCAAACACATTGTCAGTGCAGTAAAAATATATACCTGGACAGAAAAAAAAATCGCACAGTGGAAAAATATCAGTCATGGATCGGCCTTCTCCAAAGCCCGGAGCTCAGTTTTATTGAGGCAGTGTAAGATCATCTTGATGGAACCCAACAAAAGGCAGTTAACATCCAACAAAGAACTTTGGCACGTCCTTCAAGAAGCCCAAAGATTTTTCCATTATTCTGTCAAAATATAAAGAAGGGTGACTCAAGACATTTCACTGTACTATACACCTATGTTGCCTTGACATCATGACACGCCGTTAAAAGTTAAATAATGCTCTTCCTGAGTGTCCATGCAAGTCCTATTATTAATTGACAACCTTAGCATGACTTACCCTGGATCTTGCCCAAAGTTAACTTATGTCGGCTCCAGCTCTGCCACAATTTAATTAGTCCATTATTTCTTTGTCTAACTCTCTAACGTGGCTTAAAGGAAATATATAACATGAACTGATGCACCTTTTGTACCACTTAAGTAACCAGGTGTACTTTTATTTGTTCTTTCAGTGCTGCCTTAGTGATTGCATATCTTATGGAAACATTCGGTATGAAATACAGGTGAGTGTTTTTTCCTCACAACAATGTATTGCTTACAATTTCTGCACATTGTAAAACTAAGCTGACTTTATTACATGGGTGTAAGTGGACTGCAGCATAATTGTTATAATATATAAATATACTGGATAGAAGCACAGGAAGCAGTTGCTGGTAGAGACACTGGCTGTATCCCAATTCAGGGTCTGCAGCCTTAAAGTACGCATTTCAAGGCCGATTACGTCACAGCGGCGCGCCGAAGGCTGTCCCAATTCAAAGGCTGCTCGAAATGCGGCCCTGAAATGCGGCCTTCATTTCCCTGAATTTTAAGGCTGTGGCAGTGTAGACTTCGTGGCCCAACATATCCCAGAATGCATAGCGCGGCGGTGGGTGTGGATAATTTTGCCGAAAAAAAACGGCGGATGGGGGGGCGCCCGAAGAGTAAACTTTAAGTAAGTACTGAATATTATGTCACTTATTTATGTGCAAATGTTTAATAACGAAGAACATTAAAACATTACTGTTGGCCACATGTCGGCAAAGTTATGTGACATTAGTGACGTTTGTACTAACTTGGTTTTGCAGCTTTTACTTTAAAATATACGCCGTTCAATAGCTGAGCTTAATCCTACAGAGAATGATCAAAGCTCATGTAGAAAGAAACGAACAAAAGATTTTCTCCTTCATTTCTGTCAAACAAAGCTGTATGAAACGTTTCCAGCTGTTAGTATCATGGTTGCTAGGCAACCTGGGCAGCGCAACGGAGGCTAGACCGTCCCATTTCACAAGCCTCGCACTTCCGGCCTTAGCGGTCTTTGAGTACGTGGCCCTTGAGGATCATTGAGGCTGCGTACTTTAAGGCTGCAGACCCTGAATTGGGATACAGCCAGTGTTGCTTGCAGAGGTTTCATGTTTTTCCTATTTCACTCTGTAGGGAAGCATTCAGCCATGTTCAGGAGAGGAGGTTTTGCATTAATCCCAATGTGGGCTTTGTGCATCAGCTACAGGTAAGCTCATATTTTAACCTTTTAGAATATCCTAATACCCTAATAATCATACTGTCTGCACATGACTGTAATTGGTCTGTATTAATAATATTGCTACTGCAACAGATTCACTGTGCCCCCTTCATTTTCCTTTGAAAGAAAGGCAACATTTATATGATGGCATTGGATAAAAAGTTGCATACACAGAAGAAATACAGAATCACTACAGCCTGTGTTGTTATACTGGTTCATTTTGCTGTTTTTGCTTTCTTGTGTTTTCTTATTCGAGGCTGCAGAAATGATTTTCCCATGTTTCCTACCATATATCATCTCTCTTTAGTCTGTCTTGGCTGGCCACACAAGTGGCTTGCTAACTTAGTTGGCACGTGTACTTGTTGTGTTTTCAAATTAAAGTAAATGTGTTATCACACAGTTATTTTTTTTACTCCATTAACTCAAAACAGAAATTGTGGCATGGGCTCACGAATACTGCCACTGTAAAGTCTTTGAGCTTCATTAAGTAATTAACTGAGCGTGTAAGAAGTCAGCCAAGAGACAAGCAGTCGGAGCTGTGTAGCTGTTGTCATTCCTGTGATTTTTACAGCTGTATTTAAATTTGATTTGCTTTTAAAGGAATATGAAGCAATCTACCTAGCCAAACTGACCATTAAAAGGATGTCGGTGCAGTTGGACAGGCCGTTCTCACTACAAGCTGGGATGCCAGGTTTGTATTTAACGTACCCAGTTTTGGAAAGAGACACACGTCCCATTATTTCTTGTTATTACTAAACCAATGCAGGTAAAGCATTTGGTTACAGCTTTAGCACAGCGGAAATAATAAAAAAATATTTCATGTTAAAGAGAATTCAAAGCAGTGTCGATGGGTCCATTGTGCCATTTTGGCATCCATTATCAGACTTTCTCAGGATCATTAACTGGTGATGTGGTAATGGTGGGTTACTCATTTGTAAAACGCTGCTTGATATGATGTTTGACTTTAAAGAAGGCTTTCATTAGGAAAAAAAAACTAGCTCCATTGTGACTCATTCTCAACTGATAGCATTCATATTTTCTTTGGGACTTTATTACTATTAAACACATAGCATTCAGGCATGTGTAGCTCTAGGACTGACTCATAATTTCCCTCAGTTATAATTTATTGGTCTGAATCCCAGCGATTTCACTTTCCACAGGCGACAGTGTTCACGTTTGGAGATTATAGGCGACGGACTTTGTGTTGCCGTTTTGTGATTGTTCATTTTCTTTTCTATAATAGGAAGCCGCAAACGCAGCCTGGAGGAAGATGAAGATTTTGGAGGGATGCAGGTCACAGCTGCACAGAACGGATGAGCTTTGCTGATAATGTTTGCTGTGTGGCAGAGTGCACTCGATTCTTTTCTTTCTTTCTTTTTCATTTTTAATGGGATTAAAAATGTAAATATTTGAACTTTTTCTAAGGGGAAGGGATCGGGCCAGGACAGGAACTACTCATGTCTGAGACATGGAGTACTAAAGGGGACTGGGAACAATTTGATAACTAATTTCTTTCTTTCTTTTTTCTTGAGCTGTATACACTGATGGGGGACTTTTTTTTTTCTTTTTTGCAGTTTTATAGTATTTAAAGCATTTTGCATTTGCAGCGGGACAGTATTGCAATAATGCACTTTCGATACTTGAATTTGTGTAGACGAACAGGTGGGGAAAGTTGGCAAAAGGGAAAGTAGCCAAGATATTTCCCAGTTAAGGACATGAGAAGAGGAATAGCTACGCCTTTATTTCGGGAGTAATAGGGTTATGGACTAATATCAGACTTGATATGGGATAGTAAGGAATAGAAAACTCACTGCTTAATAAAGTCCTGAGTCCTGTTCAGCTGCGTCCTCATTTCTGCTCTTCACTGCTTTTATTAGATTGCCAATAATAAGTCACATTTAAGATTCCGCAACAATAGTTACTGTAGGTCACTCTATAGTGATGCTCGATAATTAAACATCAGCAATGTTGAAACAATATTGCATTAAGAGCATGATGGAAGCTAAATCCCCATTTTAGTATCATTTCCTCTGATTGACTAGACCTGATACATTAATCTCAAGTGAGAAGAGTATGGGCTGTTTCTTCATGATACAAAATCAGTTTTAACTGAGGATAAACTGATTTCATTTATCCCAGCTGACTGGGTGAGAAATGCACCTTTGGACAGGTTGCCACTCCAACACTGGACTAACAGTGGGACAGTGCCACACCTACAACCAATTTCAGCATCTTGCCCAAAGACTTCACTTCAAGACACTGGGGAATCGGACACCACCTCAACCACAGCATACCAACGTTTTTGAATTCCACCACCATCCTGACCTCCAAAAAAACCACTCCAAATATCTCAAATCAAGTCTTTAGTTAAAACATGGAGCTGCCTTTTTTGTAGAAATAAAAAAGCAAAAAAAACAAATGACCTTAGGCCAAAGATGATTTTATTTGACTACACGTTTTGAAATAAATTACATTAAATATGTGCCCCCTCTCTCCAGGATAAAAGAATAATTATAAAACTTAACTAGAAAAGCTTAAATAAGAGTTAATTTAGAAAAATCATTTTTACCCACTTCCCATTACAAAAACCGTTAAATGCTAATCCCATTTGGCAACTTAAGTCAAAACTTAACAGCATGTTAACAACTTACCAGTACCTCAAAATATTTTTCCTCACTTAATGTGAAACTTTATAACAGTCTTCATCGTAGTTCTTGTAATTTAAATTTGATTAGTTACCCAGCTACACATAATCTGTATGACACTGCATCTTGTACCAAATAGGATTAAACAAAAAAAAAGTAAAACAAATCTTTTGTTCTAAACAAGTTTAGTTTTCTGGCAGCCGTCTGTCAGTTCAATCACAATCTACAATTAATTCTTAAAGCATATTTGGTTTTGAAGTTGCCTTGTAGAGTTGTCTGTTACCTGTAGATTGTTTTACTTACATAATAAGTAATATAACTTCATTTGGTATCATCCTGATCTCCCACATAGCTGTCATTACTTACAGTTGCATGGAAGTCACATATATAAACTGTTCTTTCACTGGTACATGGAAAAGAAAAACTTCAAGCAATTTAAAGAAAGAAAATAGTATTTTTCTTTTCTAGATGATGAGATGTCAGGTCCACCCTGGTGAGGTAGCCACGGTTACCAAAAGGACAAGGGATTGTGTTGCACTGAGCTTGAACATTTGTAAATGTTTACTCGAGTGTGCTGAAATCATGATAAGTGTTCATGGATGACTCAGCTGTGACACAACAGCAACCTCATCCACGGGAAGCTCCAGTTCTTAAGACATTCTGCAAGTTCTGATTATCACCGGGCGTGCAAAGGTACAGTCCGTTTTTCCCAAAACAGATTTTTGTTGTTCTTTTTTTTAAACTTCCGTTCTCAGTCAAAAAATCGACACTGCATGTAGGTCTCGTCTGACGCAGAGTAGCCAAACTTCTGGTAAAAAGCCACGTTTTTGGGTGCACATTCAAGAGTGATTTTATAGCAATTCAGTTTTTTGCTGAGAAGAGTAAGAGTCGAGACTAATCTGTTGGGATAAAGAAGAGAAGTGAAAAGTTTTAAAAGCAGAAATCACAAGATATAAACTATTCAAAATATAAAACTGTCTTTTGATATGTTGGGCAATATGTGAAATATTAAAGACAAGCCAAAGCCGTGTCTTGACTCACAGTTTGCCCAGCTGCTTCCCTCGGCACACATCGCTGACGACGACCTCCTCCACCCGGCCTCTCTACAAATAAATATGATTTTAATTTACTAATTGTCAAGATTAATAAACATATATGTATCTCTACAATGTAAGCTGAGCTTTCCTAGTAAAGGAAATAAGAGCGCATTTTGATTTGATAAATTAAATAATTATTAACCAATTTATGACCATATACTGGGTTAATAATTAAATATTAGTGTTGTAATTACCACTACATTAATCAGTAACTTTTTTTACGTAACTGGTGATAAGGAAAACACAGGGAGAAAAACAACAAACAAACAGTTGTGTACTTGAATATACACAAATTTGTGTAGGGTATACTGTACTTTGGCACAGGAGTGGATGAATTTGTGTTCAGTGATCAGTGTTGCCGTGGCCACGATCTGACTCAGATTTGTATCCTCCACCACGACGACATAGTAATCTCCAGTCTTCTTCATGTGCTCAAAATTCTCTGTCAAAAAATAAACAAAATGTGTGTTTATGAATCATCACTCATACTTTAATTAGTTTGTTTTCTAGGATATTTCTTTAAATATATATGATCGGCTGTCTAAGACACAACAATAGTTGTGTTAAATTGAAAATTAGTCATTCAAAATGACACTCAGTTAACAGTTTATGTTCCAAACTTAATTATCTCACTTTTAGAATATTTATAAGACAAGTATGACTTACTAGTGAACTGCTCTGGTGTGACATCGCCTGTCTTGGTGAGCTGAGATAAAACCTTGAAAAATCCTGGAACGAAAAAGGATAAAGAGTTAGTGAAAATTTCTGAATTGTAACCCATCTCCTGGGAATTTCTGAGATGTTTCATATTATACCCCAAGAAAAAAAAACATACTGGTGTGGTTTATGCTGTACAGACTCACCTCTGTTGAAATCTGCCATACAGAGTGGCCTCAGCACCAGGCCTTCCCCTGGATTGCATGGTGAGATTGGGGGAGAGAATGAGGCAGTGTTGCTGCTCCAGTCTAGCTCCCGAAGCAGAGAGGGCTCAAAAAGTGGAGTCTCGTCCAGCAGCATACCAAAATCTCTGAATGGAAAACATGCACAGAGAGATGAGTTCAGGGACACACACCCAAAAAAGTATGTGAGCAAGGCAGTACCCAACTTATTTGGCTAATGAATTGATACAAGTCATAAAAATCAGCCTGGACTGAAAGAGCGTGTGCTCTGGTCATACAGAACTTTGACCTGACAGTTTCACTTGTTAAAACGTTTCCTCAGGGTTCACAGGTATGCTTCGGAGGTTGACAAACCAGCTGACACACCCGCGTACAGATAATGATACGTTTCCTGATGATTCATGATCTGTTCTCCAGGACAGGACCCGGGGCCTGACCAGGATATGTAATATGAGAGGGCTTTACAGAGCAAGGGAAGAAGGTAACACTGTCGCTGTTGCTGATGGGAGTCACTCTGAGCCTTTCTGCGACAGAGTTTCCTACTTCTACCACAGGCGTCCTAAATCTAGTTTCCATGGCAGCACCATAAAACATTACACTTTTACAAGCGTAATCGTTTCCCGGTTGAGCACGGCAAAGAAATGAGGGCAAACTGCCCATGTTCACTAAAACAAATTACAGTACAGCGACCACAATGCTTTAGCTAACTAATGTGACGTTAGCTAGCCAAACGAAACTTGGGTTATTGAAACATACTTTGCCAACTAACCCGGCAAAATACAGGCGTATGTAAACAGTGTTTCCCCTATACTGTTAAACGTCTACACGAGGCTACCTTCATGTAAGCAAACTTATACAGCCGAGTTAGCGTCGGAGCTGTATCCTCACATTTCATACCAAATGATAAATTTAGCGTTAGCTAAGCAGTTAGCCACCTGGCAGCTACTTACCAAGTAAAAGCCAACACAGCTAGAGATGGTCCCTCGGAATCCCCACAGTGAAATAACCCGCAATGGTCTTCTCTACTATAGTTTTGAATGAGGCTGCGCTACATCATTGAGCTGAACACTGTGGCTGCATTCAGTATTCATTTCCGCTTGGCACTAACCCTTGTGTATGACGTGGCAAAGATGCAGAGGCGCAACCAACTGACGTCAATTGATTAAAAGAAATCCAGATGCAAATAGTTTTCCACAATACATCATGCATCCATGCTTTGTGATGGGCTTGTATACTCTCATGAGTTTTGTACAGAAATACAGTTGTTTTCTGTCAAAAGGAGCACAAAAAACATACTGATGTGGTTTATGCTGTACATGTACTGCCCACTGGCAATACGTTTACCAGCTATAGTTCAGATCCATGTGACTGCATCGCCGCACTCTAAGAACAATAATGAGCTGAACTAAAATGGATGAGACAAGCTCTTGATGGCAGAAGTATTTTTAACTCTTCCCTATACTGCCAGTATGTGTTGTTTAATACAACTGAAGCACTGTTACTCATAATTATACATAAATATTATCCAGTAAGCTACAGTTGTGATCAGAAGTTAACATGTAATCATTATAGATATCTGACCACTCTTCCCGGCAGAATTGGAAAAAATGTTTATTTAAATGGGTTGATCACCTGGCACAGACCTGGCTTTTAAGTGTGGTCCACAAGTTTTCAGTAGGATTGAGGTCAGTGCTTTGGGAAGGCCATTCCAGAAAGTTGGTGCTAGCCTGCTTTATCTGTTCCAAAACTAGTTTTGATGTGTGCTTGTCATTGTTATCCAAGTTTCAACCATCTTGCTGTTGAGTTCAGGTGAAGCTGATCATTCTGGAGGTAGTCCTTATTATTCCATCCACTTTTTACAACTACTTACCACTTCCACTGATAGCAAAACAGACCAATTAAAGAAAACCTTTCTTTATTTAACAATCTCAACCTCACTTGTTGAACTTGGGAATTGAAAGGTTAGGCTGCACTATTAGGACTGGAGGTTTACATCTGCAAAGTAAAGCCAGAAATCCATGTTGTCTCAATAAACAGAAGAAAAAGAAAACCCAGTAAACAAAGGATACAAACCATCATTTGTTAAAAAGCTGTAGAAGCTGTTTATTGAGTCTTTTATATTAACATATTTTACAAAAACTAGATTTACAGAAATTATCCATAACTGAACCATCTTGATTTAGGCACAAAAATACCAGAAAGCTCAGTCCAAAAGAAAATATTTAAATTCTGATTCCATAGTTAATGATTATGAAAGGTAATCCATGCATAGGAAAATATATCATGGATTTTAAAAGTTGCTAAGTAACTGAATGAAAACCAAACTGTCCAGTTTTAGGTTGTTGTTGTTGTTTTTTTTGTTTTTTTTTAAACATGTTGACTAATTAAAACCTTTAAACTAAAATCTTATGCTGTATCTTATTACAACACTCAAAACAAAAAGTCTGAGCAATAAAATGAGCACACAAAGATAACAACACTTCAGCTTCAGTGGAAGTTTGTGGGCTGTTCTTTGGGATAAAGTTGAAGAAAACATAATCACTTTTATAGATGCATGCATATCTCACCCCAAACTGCCTTTTTTCCACTGTAATGATAGAATTCAAACACACTTCATCATTATATCTGTCGATATGCATCAACCAGCTACAGATTCAGTGAAATATACCAATACCCAAAAAGCCTCTACGGCTACGTTCAGTTTGCACAGTTGTACATTTTCAAAAAAAACAATTTAAACCAGCAGGTGATTATGTTCCCCCGCTAGTGTAATTTCTTAACTAGTATTCAATGTAAATAGACAAAGGCCAATCAAATAAAAAACCCGAAAAGTTTATTCATGAAGATTCTCAGTCATTCGGGTCGCAGAATATTTAAACAAGGAGAAAACCAGTTATTTGCTAAGAATTTCATTGGTTTTGCTACATATGCAAGAAGCAACACTATTTCTAGCAAAAGAAGAAAGGGTTCACCGATAAAACTGACGAAGCCTCTTGAATTGGTGGCAAAACAAGCAAGTTAAAATGCACCACAGAAACTCCATCTGTTGCAGACTTGACAATTTTTGCCTTTCTTAACAGATAAAGATGACCGACACACCCATTAATCAACAGAATAAGATATTTTTACCGCGCAGAGGTTCCTGTAGGAAAGACACCACATGTAACACTCATTGATCATAATGTAATACATCCCTATTTTCTGCATATGCATCGCAAAGGGACCGGTTTTGGAGAAAAAAAAAAAAAAAAAAAATTTACAGGCCCATTTCCCCATCTTGTTAAATAACAAAATGCAAACAGGTGATATTACACACTAAATAGAAAACAACCCATGCGGGTGAAAAGAAGAAAAAAAATAAACAACTTTGTTTGCAGCATTTTTTTCTGATAGAAACATTCATATTTGACAGAAAGGCTGAACAATACTAAAGTGACATTCTCTTGCGCCTATGTAAGAAATAAGAATGTGTTATTTTGCCTACACTTAATTCACAGTTGAAACTCAAAATAACACACAGACACATCAGATGAGTTCCTCCATCCGGAATACAGAATTTTCTGCCATGGGCTTAATATGTGAAAGGAAAACCAAGACCCATATAACAGCTTTATCTACCAATGACACCTTCAAACCCTTCTCATAAACATCTTCTTGTAATAGTCTTCTGAACGCAAAGCATGCTCGTTTTTTGACAGCCAGTCTGAATCATGACAGCTGCTGACTGTCTATTGAAGCTGGTGGTTGCATTGTGTGGCACATGTATAGAGGGCAATGCAACCTTGCACCAATTAATATATAGATCATATTCCAAATACTAGGCTGAATTCAGTGATACAGAGGCTATTTACAATAGTCTCACCCTTTTAGGCAGCCTCAAAACCGCTCCACGGCCATGTCTGCAATGGTTTAATTTTTTTGTGTGTTTTGTTTTATAGGTGATGACCATTGACTACACCAAATGGGGGAAAGTTGAAATAGCTCTTGTCAGTGCCTCTTAGGGTAACAATGTACTACACCCTTCTGCTGAAGCCAGAATCAGGGCGCAGGGTCCTGTAGGTTTTGTAGACGTCTCTCTGCTGCTGCCGCCATGGTTCTACGTCTCAGCACAGTTGAGTCCAATTCTGGGCCATCCTCCTCCTCCTCCAGTCCAGGCAAATCTTCATCCTGATCCTCCGAATTTTTGTTCAGATATTTCCTACAGGGATGCAGAAACAATGTAAGGATATAACAACAAGAACTGAAAACCCAAAAGAACGGGGAGGAAACAGAGAACCAGTAATCCTTACTATTAGTTATCACAGTGTTTCTCCTAGAATTAGATACTTTTAAAAAATAATAATAATTTACCACAAATGGTAAGGTCCACAACTGCAAATATATGAGTTCTTAGGGGTTTTTGTGTTTGTTTTTTTAAAAACACAGAAATAAGTCAATACTACATTTCCAGTGCCAGAAAGTCAATTCTGTTTATCTGGATAGTGTTTTCAGTGATTTTATTGCCCCACAACTTGACTTGGACTGCAGCTTGCAATTGTAGCCCTTGGTCTGCTTTGTAGGATGACAGTGTGCAACAGTGAGCTAAAGCTCCATTTCCATAAGAACTAGCACCACACCTGCTACACTAAGTCAACTAAAACAGAGGAGATTAAAGACTAGGGCTGCCAGGATTAGTCGACTAGTCACGATTACGTCGACGACTAATTTTATAGTCGACACGTCGTTTGAAGCTTTGTAGGATCCCAAAAGACGCAGGAATAAGTAGTAGGATTTAAGAGTGTAATAACGGACTGAAACAGAAGATGGCAGCACTGCACGTACAAGGATGCCAGCTGCTGTTAAACTTCGAAGAAGAAGAAGCAGTCTCCGATATCGTAGCCGTGTCCAAATTCAGGAACCGCATCCTCCTGTGCACGCATTTGTAGGCCGATTACGTTACAGCGACACGACGAAGACTGTCCAAATTTAAAGACTGACAAATGCGGCCGATAAACGCGCCCTTCATTTCCCCAGATTTGAAGGATGGGTCTGATGTATACTTCGTGGCCCAACCCATCCCAGAATTCATAGCGCAGTCCTACTCTGTTTCCAACAATGGCAGCAGCTAGTTAGTTTTAATATTACTCTTATTATTCTTTCTGGGTCACAAAATAAACGTTTAACATATTTTCAGGCGAGAATGTAGCTGTGTAAATTTCAAATATCTGCTTGGTTTATCAGGACACCACATATTTTCAAAAGCGCGCTGATGTTTTCGGAGACGTCTGTTACCCACTAGCTCGATTGCTAGCCGGGGTTCAAGGCTCACTAGAGCCGGTGAGAACACCGGACTCCCAGCAAATCGTTTTCAAACCCACCGCCTTCTTTTGCTACTCAGGTTAAACATGATATACAAGTCATTTCGATAACTTAAAAATGTTATTGTTTGGCTTTTTTCAGCATTTTATTTGTTCCTGAGTAAATGGGTTTGGCTGAGATTAAAGTTATAGTTTTTACACAGCTGAATAAACGTCAAGCAGACAACTGATGTGTGAAGTGTGAGATTCTCTTGAATATACTCTGGTGTCCTGTTATATTTTAGATAGCAAGGAGCAGAAGGCTGAGTTTATTAAACTCCACCGAAACAATCTGCAAATTTCATTAAAATTTAATAAACTATCATCTTGTCTTTATTTTTAGTTAGCACATACCTTAGACACTTAAAGCTGTAAGCTAATGATAGTTATATAAGAGCAGATGCATGCTGGTGCAATAAGCTGTACGCTTTACGTCCAACGGATGCATGATCTGATTAGTCGACTAATCGCAAAAATAATCGGTGACTAGTCAACTATCAAAATAATCATCAAAGGAGCTTGCAAAGAAAAGCGTCTGGACTTCTTTAAGTTGCTTGAAGACGTTTCACCTCTCATCCGAGAAGCTTCTTCAGTTCTAAGGTCAAATGGTGGAGAGCCCCAGATATAAACCTAGTGGGAGTAACCCCCCACAGAGGGACAAAAGGACCCCCTGATGATCCTCTAATCGCCTGAGCCAAGGTGTGAAACTGGGTGTGGGACCCAATCAGCCAGAGTTTCGGGTGAGCTCATTGTGAAACCTGGCCCCACCTTATCGGGACTCTCCACCATTTGACCTTAGAACTGAAGAAGCTTCTCGGATGAGAGGTGAAACGTCTTTAAGTAACTTAAAGAAGTCCAGACGCTTTTCTTTGCAAGCTCCTTTGACTACGATGACCTGGATGACTGAGAACCTTCACAGACATATCAAAATAATCGTTTGTGGCAGCCCTATTAAAGACACCATAAAAATACACCTGTGATTAGACGGCCAGCAAACAATCGACAGCTGCAGCACAAAACAGTGGTTTAAGAGCCTATCTGGGGAAGCAGTTGAATGAACTGACTGTCACCACAATGGCAAAGCAGCCAAGCTGTAGGAAGGGAAACTTAAATTTTTCTAAATTTAGACTTAGAAAGTGACATTTTAACATCCAATTTATTCCATCTTGGTTGAAAGAGTGATATAAACTCATCTCAAAACCCAGTATTAAACAGGCACAGAAGTAAAATGACATAGACAGTAGTATAGATAAGCTCTGAAATAATCGGTTATACACTTGATACTGCAGAAGAGATCCTTTATACCCATTCAGAAGCGAGATTGAGAGGCTGTTCTAATAAAGGGTGGAGAAAACTGATCAAAATGTAACACAAGTGTTTTGCATGTGAGGGAAGAAACATGAGCAGTCTGTTTAAACATGTGTGACAGCTTGAATGTGTTACATACAAGTGTAAAGATGAACAGTTTGACTGCCTAACCTGGAACACAGTTAATTAAATTATAAGAACTTGAGTTAAAGACTAAATATAGTCAACCACATACACAAAAACATTTTGAATATAAAATGTGGAAAACTCAAATTTGTAGAGGAACAACCTGCGTGCTTGCTGAAGCATCTCTTCTTTCCTCTGCTTTAACATCTTCTGCCTCTCCTCTGCAGACTTAGAGAAGCGGCCTCCTCTAACCTCCAAGTTGTCAGATTCACCCTGCTCAGCTGCTCCACTGGGCCCAGGCTGCTCATCTGGTGCAGGATTAACCTGTAAAGGGGCTCGCTCTATGGCCTAAGAGAGGACGACAAACATAATCTTGAGTTATTAATTTTAAGAAACACACAAAACAAACTAACAAGGAAAACTAAGAGCAAGGCATGTCTGCAGAAATCCAATGATAAATAAAAACTGCACTTAACATTTAACCCCAAGATGACTGACCTGCGTAGGGAAAGGCACCTGGATACGTCCCTCCAGGATGTTGTCAGTAGTAACTTCCACAGAGCGGGTCAACTGTAAGTCTTGTAGTACCAGGTAGGAGGGCACCTGAGGAAACATCTCTTGAATCTGATGGGCCTGATGAGCACAAGTACATAAAAAGCAGAGTGAGATGGGGAACACTGGTATAAGTTACAGTATATGTTACATTAAATTTAGTTGTTTTTAAGCCCAAGCAATATTTGAAGTCATAGACACTGACTAAGACATGGAGTGAAGGCTGCAATAATAAGGCGGCAGCAGGGATTTTAAGTAAATAAAGTTGTTATAGCCCTAGCAGGGCCTCGTGTGAAATTGACCTCGTGTGGGTGTGTCCTGGCATCTCTCCTGCCTTAGGTGCCACCCTTTTTGTACAGCTGACTCTAAACAGCATTAAGAGTACGATGAGGTGAGAGAAAGGTGAGCTCTCGTGCCGGAGATCCTTTTTCTTTTTTAACTTCTCAGTTTGGTGATCAACTCCTGGGTTTTGTTGTTTTCCTTCTTTAAAAGACTATTTCAGCATCTGTCCCTCTCTGTTCGTTTAATTACTAATAGAAACATTAATGAAACCTTTAATTTAACAATGCTGCTTTCCCGTCTCCTTTTTTCAACCCGGAAACCTTTTGTTACTTTGCCCACATCCCCTGGACTTTTTAGGAGAATGTAACAAAAGTTTTAAGATCATCAGCCGTCTAAAAAGATCTTACAAGTTTAAATATTAGCCTCAACTTGCAGTCTGTGTATCCTTTCTCTTAAAGACAACAAATTTCAGTAAACTCGAACTCACCATAGCCATAAGCTGGGAGTTATTTGCTTGAGCAATGCCCAAGATGTTAGTAGTATGCATTACTTCTACTGAGAAACTGGGCAGCCAGCTGGCGATACGAGATCCTGTAAGACAAATGCATGGATTTTTAATTTTAGCTGTGACACAGAGCCCATCAGTTTTAGGTCACGTGTCCAGCACCCTTACCATCAAAGTGGAAGAAGTGATTGTGTTGGTTGATATGTGGTCTGGCATCTGGGGGGGCTCCAACTGGGCCAATGTTGTCCTCCAAACCCCCACCCTGCTGCGGGCTTCTTGCTTGGCCCCCATCCCCATTAATATTAAGGGATTTCCGACATGTGGGACACGACGTGTCCTGCTCAAGCCATGAGCGCAAACAAGAGCTGAAGAAACACATATACATACCCTAAGTAAGTCGCCAGTCTGAAAACTTGACATGTATCTTAGGGGTCAGGACAAATTTTCTACAGCTAGGCTCTATGCAGGGCATCTTACTGAAGCTCAGAATGTATATCAGAGCTCACAGCAATAAACATTCAAACAAGCAAACTCTACTACAAAAGCTAAGAACTGCTGTGCAGTCTAGTTTACACTTCTCTATGTAAATCTTTTAAGGATTTTGGGAACTACCCTAACGGAAGCTTCAGCCTTTAAATCCTGCTAAATCCAGGATGCCGATATTCTCCTTGGCTCTCTTTTAGCATTGTTATTTAGGTACATAACACAAATGTTTTCTCAGGACAAGGATGTCAAATTCAATTTTACTTCATGTGCTGGACAACAAAAAGCATTGCATAACTTCATGTTTGATAAAATAACACAACTCCAAAAATGCCCCTTTCAGTAAGTATAAAAAGTATATTCTGTAGACGTTTGCCTGAGCCATAGCATAGTTGTTGGGTTTTTTTTATTGTTTTTTTAAATCCAAAACCATAACAATATCCCTAATAATTTTCCAGACATTAGAAAGTAAAGCAACTTAAGCCTGAAATCTCTCAAGTGGAATTTCCACTCAACTGTGTCAGTATAGGCCACATACTGACAAGTACTATTTCTAGGGTATAGCACCTCAAAGCAAAGGCAGATAATCCTAACTATAAGCAGTAAAAGTAAAATTATTTACTTGTGGAAGAGATGACCGCAGGGCAGTTTGCGTGCTGTAAGCATGGCATCCCAGCAGATGGCACAATCATCATCATTGGCTGCCAGCTCCTCTGCAGTAGCAACAGCAAATCTGCAGAGTTTATAGTATATGCAACTATTAAGTAAACAAGTAATGATTAGCAAAAGACTGAAAGCACACACGCACACACACCTTGTCTCCATGTTATTGATGACACGCAGGTAGTTCTTATGTCGGCGGACACGGCGCTGCACCTCATGGAAGAGATATCGCAGCTGCATGAAGATAACCAAGCTTGCCATGGACAGCCAGATATTCCCGAAAAGCTAATAAGTGAAATGTGCACACAAAGGTGAAAGATTAGTGGATCAGAAAGTCACACTGGGACAGGAAGTGTTCAAAACATGACAGCCATACACTCAGTCATACTGCATCTTACCAGCATATGGATATGGTGCATTAGGTCAAGAAACAGCATGGCCAGCTCCATTATGAAGTCTGTGTAGTAGACATATGTCCCCTTACTCTCCCAAGTCCCTGGATGGTTCAAATCCCAGAGATGAATTGAGTATCTGGAAGAGTAAGACACAGCTCTTTCAGTTCATGAAATGCTGGTGACTTTTAGAAGATTGGAGGAGGCAAAATACTGCAATAAATTAAATGTGCAACAATATACTGTATGTGGTACAATAATGCCAAAAAGACTGAAATTCAAGGTTGAGACAGAACTGTTTTGAGTAACAAAGAAAGAAGAGTTATGATACGGTTCTGATTTCATCATAAGATGTATTTAGTTAAGTGAGTGAAAGTAATCAAAAGCTCAAAAACAAAACTTGCAAAGGTATAAAGAAACATCTTTAAAGGGAAGTCACCATAAACATTATTTTTCCATGCACCAAACAACTGTACTGCAACAGACAGCTGTTACCAGCCAAGGGAGTCAGTACTGTATCCAGTACTGATCCAGGACCTTGGCCCATCAGAGTTGGTGGTAGTTCAATATTAGGAACCCTCTCAAAGACAAAGAAGCCTTTCATAATAGAGCCAATGGAACCAGAGGAAAACAAACAGTTTTATGTGCTAAGATTATCCCAGATTCCAAATTTGCACAGGCTGTCATCCATGCTGCAGTGTGTCTATGAGGCTGCACAGAGACTTACCGCATGATGACATGTCCAGTGCGTACAGTCACCAGCAGACACTGAGGAAAAAAGTAAATGCGAAAATGATGCAACTGTTGTGCTCTGCTTTCTACACAGACATTACAGTCTAAAAGAGATAGTTTAAACTCTCATTTACACTAAACTCGGTGGTTTTGTTCACTCACAGACAAACTCTTATTTATTCAACATTGTTGACAGCTTTTACAGCAAATAAGATTATTTTTTTTCCATTCACAAAAGTGCAGCTGCAAACTGAAAACAATGATTATGCTTCTGCTTCTTCAGGAAACATATACATGAGCCAGAATGCACAACACCAGCAAGAAGGAACCCACAAATGAAAAAGTACTCTTATAACTCTGTGGTGGTGAATCAGAGTCACATTTTAATTGGTTTCTAAGTTCATCAAAGAACTGCATTGATACTGAAAAATGTAAAAACAATTTTGTCCTCTGGAGGGATATCATCTACAAAGCATGAGCACCTATTTCACTAAGTAATTACATGAAAATTAAGGTATTTTTCACTTTAACTGCTCCAATTATTCTCAACCAATCCTGGGTTGAACAAGAATACAAAGCAAATGCATGCTGAGAAGTGTAGTTAGCAAATGTGTATAAATAAATACCTGCACCTAAACAAAAGCTTAAATGACATTTAAAAAAAATAAATAAATAAATAAAAATCCATAATCATATGTGCAAAGTGTGGCCAAAACTTTCCCACAGCTTGGCTCCAAGTTCTCACCTCTGCTGCCATGAAGGAGAGCGTGTGCATGCCATGAGAAGCTCCCAGGAGGCCGCAGACCACAGCCAAGCCACAACAGTCCAGAAGCAGGGAGACCAGCAGACAGAGCACACGCACATGGCTGTTCATAGGTGTGGATGGGGAGAAAG